CGGATCCCGCATATGGCACACGGATTCCCCCCTAACCTCATACCAGACACACGCCCGCCGACGGCGCTCTCCTTCCCCCTCCCTCCCTGCCCCTCTTCCCTCCCCATCCCCGTACCTGCGAAGGGCCCCACAGACCTCCCGCGCCGCCGGCGGCTGCGACGTGTCCCAGCTCGGTGAGGGGACGGGATGGGGGAAGAAATGGGGAGCGACACTCCGCAGTCTCTATGACAACAGGGGAGAGCAAAAGATGCCCCCCCTTCCGCACGGCCAGGCCCGCGCCGCAGTCGGCAGCTGGGGCGATACCACTGGATGCAGCGCGGGGAAGGGGAAGCCAGTACACTGGTGCAGGAGGAATAAGGGCGTCCCCGCCCCTCGGCGGCCGCTCTCGTCTTCACCGGCTGCCAAGCCGCGAAGGGAGGCTGCCAGTGTCGGCGGGCGCTACAGCCCGGAGAGGGCTATCCGTGGGCACCCGTGCCGGCGGGAAATGGTACGCCCTGGTGGTCAGACCGCGGCGCCAAGCGCCCCCTGGCGGTCTGCATTGAGTACCTCAGCATTCCCGTCCGTCCCTACTCCACCTCCAGCGCTCCGGAGCCCCGCTGCCGGGCGGGCTGCGGGGAAGGGTCGGGGCGGAGACCTGCCGGCCGGTGACTGCCGGGCCGCTCCCTTCTCTTGGTGCATCAGCAGCGCCTGGGCTGGAAAAGAGCTGGCGGCTGCACGGAGCCGAAGCCACGCGTGTCCGTGTGACCGCCGCGCTCCGGCGAGGACAGCGAGAGCTGCTACCCGCGCCTGCGGGGAGGGCGAGCTCAGCGCCTCCCGCGCTGTGAAGCCAGTACAGGCGCGTTTAACAGCTTCACTTCTCTTCCGGCTGGTGTAGGCACGAAGCGCTTTCGGCAAACCGTGCAGAGGCGGCTGGCACCGGGATCCCGCTGTCACGTTTGTGGTAGGCTCGAGTTCAGCATAAGCAGCCCTCTGCTCTGTACAACAGGCTTGAAAGAAAGCTCATGTGCTCGGTCTTAGTAGTCCTACGGCAAATTAAAAAAAACAAACCAACCCTAAACTAGCAAAATACCCATGGAAAGTAAAACACTTGATCCTGTCAGGCAAAGATTTATATTATGTGGAAATGTGTTATTTAACCTCAGTTTCTTTTTTATCTTTTTTTTTCTTTATTACTTTCTTTTTCCTTCCCTTCCCCTTTAACATAATCCTGGTAGTTCAAAATACAACCCCCCCCCCAAAAAAAAAAAAAAAAAAAAAAATCACAACCAAAAAAATCAAGGAAACCCCACCTGTTCAATTATTAAAGATGAGAGCACAGAAACTGTTGTTTCTTCTGGATGGATATTGTTGGAATACTCATGGCCGGCATTCTGATGGATGCATTTGAAAATGGATACTGTTTCAACAATGATCTCCAGTAAGTTTTATGTTACTATCTTATATTTTTTTGAGATCACCCGCCTTTCCCTTTCCTAGCCAGATTTTAGTAACATTATTTGGTATATTTCTTCTAACAAATACAAGCCACAGTAAAATGTAAGCAGCTGTTTGCAGTCTTTCCTGTGGCCCCCAAGGCTCCTGTGTATGTCCTCAGTTTAGGAAGCTGGTATTTGCAGTGCTGATGAGATCAGTGCGGGTGCCCAAAAGGCTGGGTAACCTCAGAGAAATGCCTAGCAGGTGTAGGAAATGTGTGTCACAAAACATCAGAATGTCCTGCAGTGATTTACAGCTGTATTACAGATGTGTCATCATTTTAAAAGACAAATCTTAAGAAATGGGATGGTATTAGAGCACAGTCAATCAGGCTGCAAATTCAGGTGGGGGTTCCTCCTACTGCAACAAACACTTGAATATAACATTTCTCTTTAGGTATACACAGCAGTAGGTACATTCAGTGCCATGGGCATCAACGTAGCTTAGCTTTCTAAAATGCAATGCCAAACAAAACAGACAATGCCCATCAGATCAGGGTATCTGACTATGTGGGCATGTACCTGAAGATTCCTTTATTGTCAGCTCCAAAATGAAGTTTTTGCAGAACAAAAAAGAAAACTGAAGAATTTCCATTGTAAAATATCATGATTCTTTTGTTGTTGTTGTTTGCTATTTGAGATTAAAAAGCTAAAAACATTCCTTTCCTAACATGAGGCTAGAGTTTGAATTATATTCTGCATTTATGCGTTTTAAGTTATACTGAATGGCATATATAATCTAAATTCTCTTGACACATTTTTAGGCTTAGAGGAATACCGCAAAGTCAGGACACTACATACATGCTGGGTTATGCTACTATAAGAGATGGGTTTAATTAAAATTATCAGTGAACATAAATGAATTTTCAAGAGTTCTTATCATCTTCATTATTTATATGGCAAGACACTTAAATGGAAAAATTCAATGAAACAACCTGCTGAGCTAGGTATATTCTCCTCAGCATTTTAGATAAACTGGCATTAAACTCTCGAGGAATGTCTACAGTTTTGAAAACAAAAGCACTGTACTACACAGCATTGGAACCATCATGAATCCAAGAGTCTGTCCCACACTACAGTTATCAGCATTGCAGGGGTCCCAGATAGAAATGACCTGGTAGTAACCCCCTTTAGATTCAGAAAGTTTTAGGGCAGACCTGTCTCCTTACTGACTACCCCTACACCTTCAGATCATTGGCTTTCCAAAGAAAGCTCTGCTGAACAGCTGGCCTGCTACAGCCTGTGAAAATGCTGGCTGTGCTGTTAACCAGTACACTGGGAGCTTCTCCTTCAGAAAGTCCTGAAGGGCTTGCACACAGTTTATACCAGCTGATGCGGCGGCAGCAGGTACAGCTTCTACTCCCAAAGCTTAGCCACTGCTGCTATGTCATTCCCAGGAAACTGCCTCCACTAAGCTCTCACAATTGTGAATCCAATTCCTTTATAGTCCCATGTCACCACAGCTACTGCACAGCCAAGCATTTTCTTTGGCTAATAAATTCCAAAGCACAAATGGTAGTGACATGCTGTGAAAAGAAAACCAGTAAACCATGCGTAAAAGTTTTATACAGTGCAACAGATCATTATTACTTTATCCCTTTCCTAACCCTTAAACTTTGAACAATTAACCACTCAGCAAGTGTGCCAGCATCTGAAAGCAGAAAAATACTTCCGAGAAAATGGACATGGGAGAGAAGCAGGGAGGTAGCTTAAAAAGAAAAAAGAAACAAAAAACCACACCCAAAGCAAACCCCCCACCGTTTTGGTTGAACAATATAAGCTCTGTCCAAAGATCCAGCCTGCCACACACGCAGCACAGCCTGTCCGCCAATGCTGCTCTCAGCAAATAGCCCTCCTATGCCAGTCTTCCTGTGCTCAGGGACTCTTGCACTCTCTCTGTGCAGTCTCAGCTCCCTTCCCAGGACATAGCCTCCTTCATACCAGTGTCACCTCATAGGGGTACGTGCTCCTCCTGCATAAGCTCCTTCCCAGCTCTGACTGGTCCTGTCAACAGCCAGTATTTTCTGCTTCTTGTTCCCACCTCCTAGAGCTGAGGTTGTACCCATCCACACAGCTGATTCTCCTTCCACAGCTGCAAAGGTTGTGAAAGGATGTGTCCTCTGCTCTTCTTTTTGTTCATATCAGGAGAAAATGTCTGTACTACAATCAGTTTCACCATGAGAAATAAATTTCTGCAGATGACAACTTAGCCATCACCTTCCACTTCGCTTTCTTCCCCTGAAACAGGGTAAGAAAGTTGAACAAAGAACAAGCACTGTGAAAGGGCTTAATATGAGAATTTGAAATACAACTTTTGAAAAAACTTTCAAACTTATGGTTTGGCTTGAATATAAAAAGCAGAACCAAAACCAAACCAAAACCAACCAACCAACTAACCAAGAACGCCCCCTCCCCAAAAGATCCTGAGCTAGGCCTAAGAAGGAGCCTTATAGACCACAGGGGTACTTAGAAACTTACCTGAATTTAACAATGGATGCTACCCAGCAACAATAAACATACACAGGACTCTTACAGTGTGGTCTTCACACAAACCACACAAAAGCTGGGGCACAGTTTGTTTGAAACGTTTGTACGTGACAATCAGAAGGCCATGCAACTTTTGAAATTTAATGGCTCAAGCAGCATTTCAAGTATGAAGAACAAGGGATGATTCACCGTCGGATTACATCTCTCATAGTTGTGCACAAATTACTACAATACCAGAACAGCCCTATTCTATTTTGTTGAAATACCATTAACACAACTAGAAAAGCATACACATGGCTGTATTAACCGGATGGCTCTTGGAGCCATCATACAGCAGGCAGCCTGCGGGTAGCACATAAAATGCATTAAGAACTGTACAGTGATTTTGAACAAGTCTGTTGCACTTAAACTAAAGGCCTCTGAGATTTTTTTTCCTCATGGAGAATAGACTATCAGGAGAACATTTGGGGCAGCACTCGCCCTTCTCCAACAAGCTCTGGGGCGTGTCTCATCTGGCAATACTTCAGTCTTCATAAAAACAATAGGTACCATATCCTTAAAGGACCAACTAATAGTCATGCCTTTGTTCTGTGCTTATAAGTGATAACCACAAATTATTTATGTCCAAAGTCTTTCACTCCAAGGCTTCCCAAAACACAAACTGTACTGGGGAAGCTAATATAAACCCCATTCAGCTAAGCCATGTTTGGCACTGTCTTGCCAGCTCCTGATTAAGAACTAACGTGTACACTAGCAATCTGTCATTACTAATAACAGCTTTATAGGCAATTGTTTCCAGCTCCTTTAGCTTCTCACAGCAAGGAGAAGAGGGCAGTGGCCTCCTGCTGCCCAAAGCAGAGCAGTGTGGGCATCTGCCCTGCAGGGAAGAAGGGACAGGGATCTATTAAAAAGGTTTTAATAAGGAAACTTCCAGCTGCGCAATAAATGAACTGGAAGTTCTGAGAAACAGTTTCCTGTAGTTTGCCGTCTCTATATAATCACACATTCCACTTACAAACTCAGCTGCAGAAAATGAAAGCATACTTTCAAGCATAAATTTTTAATAATGGAATAAGCCAGTTGGAGGAATACAAATCAGTAAGTAATCATTTATTGTCATACATATTAATAGAGCCAAATGATTAACAGACATATTAAGAGGCAACTGATTAGGTTTTCCTATTAATGGCATATCACAGCTATTTTTATTTTTACCCAATTCAATTTCGATGTCAAGAAATATCTATACAACACTGAGTCCCTTTTGGTCTTCTTAGTCTTCCCCCAGACTGGTCGTTCTGTAGGGCTAAGAAACTCCGTACAATCTCCAGAAGCAACTATAGTCCCCAGAAAGAGCTCTATTGCGCTGAAAAAGCATAAGGCATCCACTCCCTCATCCTAACTCCATGTCAGAAACCTGTCTAGGGGGAGTGGGAGAAGGGTTGGCAATGATATAATTAAGAGTAAATTCAGGTAAACAAGGTCAGGTACCTCTGCATTAGGGCAACATGAAATTAGCCTGTATCATCTGGGCTGGAACACCCACAAACCAGATTCTGGGTTACAGCAATGCTGTAAGCAGGCTAATGAAGGCTGTTGCAAAGTGTGCTCTAGTGCAGACTCAACACCAGAAGAGTACTATAACTGTGAACCCTCAGTGTGGTGGTAAAGGACCCTACTGCTGCAGTGGACAGGATGAGTCTACTCTGGCTAAATGCCCTATCAAGGAACAAGCTAATCCACAGTCATATTACCACTTCATGGGTCCACGTACACAAACTTACCAGGTTTGAACAGTTTTTTCACTAACAAACTGGCCATGAGGACCATCAACATTTGAAGGCAAAAGGGCCAAGTAAACTGGGGTCTCAGCCCCTTCATCTGGTGATTTAGGGGCTTTAGGACCTGCCATGTCTGTTCTCACCCATCCAGGACAGCAGGCATTGAGAAGGATGTGGTCATCTTTTCTTTTCTCATTTAACATCCGGGCTTGAATCCTGGACAAGACTGTGACACCAATTTTGGAGACCCCATAGGCAGTATTTGGCCAACCCTCCTTCTCATGCACACCTTTTTTTGTATCTTCCACAAATTTAGCCATGAGTTCCACTAACTCATCCTCAGTGATAGTGTTGCTGCGAAACTTCTGCTGTAGTTCTCCGCTGCACTTTCCCAGCGCTGATTTACTTAACATACTAGAGACATTCACCACTCTACCTGCCAAAAAACAGTAAACACCAGTTACTTTTACACACATTAAACAAGCCAAGGCACTGAAGTGGGCTTGCTCTACAGCTATATATTCACTATTTAGGTGAACACCTGTAAAATATTTTGTGTGGGCTATTTTGCAGAGCTTCTGCCAGATCACTGTGTTGACAAGTGTTTCTAGTGAATTTCATTACAGAGGGTAAGTTAAGGTATGAACCTGCAATAACTTTCTATCAGACTTCAGGTATGCTTCCAGGAAATTGCCTGGTACAATCTGTAGGACATTCAAGGTAGGAAGTGGTTTTCTCATTAATGGCAGCCAGACTTCACTCTCAAAGTGCTGTGGGAAAATGTTCTCACTTCTGCAAGAGCTCAAATAAAGTGCTGTGAGAATATACCTCAAAACCCCCAGAATAATATAGAATTCAACAACAGCAATCTAGTTCTTAATGCAGAGACCCCATCAGCTTCTTTGCAGAATACATGAGGATTTACAAATGTCAGCATGCAAAACTGCAGTAAGCTATTTATCTTGCAGCACTTCAGTACAGAATGATGAGTCAGCTGAGTCAGTAATTCACTTATCTCCAAACTTATGTTGTGCTGCTTCCCTGTTTCTTGCTAGTTTACAGTCATTCAGGTGAATGAACAAGAGGATTTACATCTTAAAAGCCACAAAAATTAATCCTTTCTATTAATGACTTTATTAACACACCCATATAATACAGCAAGATACACTCCTCTTGCTATGGGGCAGTGTGTATCTGAGACTGAACAGGATTTACCACCTAATGAAGACCAAAATTCACATAAGACTATTTCTCTACTTGTTAATGGTACACTTACCATAAGGCTTCACAAGAGGCAACAATTCTGTACAAACATTTCTTGTTCCAAAGAAGTTTGTCTTCAGTGTAACCTCTGCTTGGACCGCAAATGGAGTTGTGTCATGCACTTACATAAGGGAGGGAAAAAAAAAGAGCAATATTATTAACACTCACATTCTTAGTAACAAAAAGACCTCGCTTTGCAATATTATATTAATCATAGAATCATAGAATAGTTAGGGTTGGAAAGGACCTTAAGATCATCTAGTTCCACCCCCCCCACCATGGGCAGGAACACCTCACACTAACCCACGCCACCCAAGGCTTTGTCCAACCTGGCCTTGAACACTGCCAGGGATGGAGCATTCACAACTTCGTTGGGCAACCCATTCCAGTGCCTCACCACCCTAACAGGAAAGAATTTCTTCCTTAGATCCAATCTAAACTTCCCCTGTTTAGATTTCAACCCATTGCCCCTTGTCCTGTCACTACAGTTCCTAATGAAGAGTCCCTCCCCAGTATCCCTATGGGCCTCCTTCAGATACTGGAAGGCTGCTACGAGGTCTTCACGCAGCATTCTCTTCTCCAGGCTGAACAGCCCCAACTTTCTCAGCCTATCTTCATACGGGAGGTGCTCCAGCCCCCTGATCATCATCATCCTCGTGGCCCTCCTCTGGACTTGCTCCAACAGTTCCATGTCCTTTTTACGTTGAGGACACCAGAACTGCACACAATACTCCAAGTGAGGTCTCACAAGAGCAGACCAGAGGGGCAGGATCATCTCCTTGGACCTGCTGCTCACGCTCCTTTTGATGCAGGCCAGGAGACACGGTTGGCTTTCAAGGTTGCGAGTGCACACTGAAGCCAGCTCATGTCCATTTTCTCATCGACCAACACCCCCAAGTCCTTCTCTGCAGGGCTGCTCTGAATCTCTTCTCTGCCCAACCTGTAGCTGTGACTGGGATTGCTCCCACCCAGGTGTAGGAACTTGCACTTGACATGGTTAAACTTCATGAGGTTGGCATCAGCCCACCTCACAAGCGTGTCAAGGTCCCTCTGGATGGCATTCCTTCCCTCCAGCGTATCAACCGAACCACACAGCTTGGTGTCATCGGCAAACTTGCTGAGGGCGCACTCAATCCCACTGTCCATGTCAGCGACAAAGACGTTGAACAAGACCAGTCCCAGCACCAGTCTCTGAGGGACACCACTTGTTACCAGTCTCCAGCTGGACACTGAGCCATTGGCCACAACTCTTTGTGTGCGGCCATCCAGCCAGTTCTTTATCCACCGAGTGGTCCACCCATCAAATTGATGTCTCTCCAATTTAGAGACAAGGATGTTGATAAGTGTCGAATGCTTTGCACAAGTCCAGGTAGATGACATCAACTGCTCTACCCCTGTCCATCAGTTCCGTAGCCCCATCATAGAAGGCCACCAAATGGGTCAGGCAGGATTTTCCCTTAGTGAGGCCATGCTGGCTGTCACCAAGCACCTTGTTGATTTTCATGTGCCTTAGCATGCCTTCCAGGAGAAACTGCTCCAAGATTTTGCCAGGCACAGAGGTGTGACTGGCTCGTCTGTAATTCCCAGGTTCATCCATTTTCCCCTTCTTGAAAATGGGGGTTATATTTCCCTTTTTGCAGTCGTTGGGAACTTTACCTGACTGCCATGATTTTTCAAATGTAATGAGCAGTGGCTTAGCAAATTCATTTGCCAGCTCCTTCAGGACCTGAGGATGGATTTCATCAGGTCCCATGGACTTGTGTACGTTTGGGTTTTTAAGATGGTCTCGAACCAGATCCTCTCCTACAGTGGGCGCAAGGTCTTCATTCTCACAGTAAGAATGAGCTAATGCTTTTTTCACCTCTCCGTAGCTGAAGGTTTTAGCTTTGGCCCAGAAAAGCTAATTGCGTCACTCTGTAGAGTCATTTGCAAACTCACAGGACATTTGTCTTTCTGCCTTTCATATGGAAGAGACAAGGAAAGACTGTTATCACAGGATGTTCTGCCCAACCTGCTCCCTGACCTGCCTGTATCTATTGGCACCCACGCAGAGTCTGTGCTGCTACCATCACATGCAAGTAAACTTAGAGGTGCCCTCTCCTCTTAAACGCATAGCACAACACTTTGCCACAATCCTAACATATCAGGCAAGGGAAGACCAAAAAGGCAAATCCTCAATTTAGGATGCTGCCACTAAAGGTACAAAAGTTAGACTATCACCCTAGTACTAACATCCAGCAACAAGGCAGACAACTGCTTCTATATCCCAATTCTTATGTTGTCACATCTTGGGTTCTTAGCTGGGGCTTGAAGATGGAGCAGTGTCACGCAACAACAAACACTGTACAAGCTTCTATAAAGACTGCAGGGGTAAGATTTGGTGCATTTTGGAAAAACAAAACAAAACACCCTTCTCCCCTCCCCCCCAACCAAAACCAATCACCCTAAATCAAAACCCAAACAAACAAAAAGAACCCCAACCAATCCCAAAACTGATAGTCATGTCATAAACCACCCCCTGAACTGACAGATCTGTGCTAATACAACAAAAGGAGTAGGAATTAGCAACTAGGAAAGGGAGCTGACTTAGGTAAGCATAAACAGATATAGAACTGCACAGTAAAGGTATGATTTCATCAGATAGAATTGACAGCTTGCCACCACCAAAAGTGTGGTAGTATGTGCCACCACCTGACAATCTGGTTTAGCAATAAGCCATATGCATTTTCCACCTTGAGGGGGAAGTAAGAGTTAAAGTAACAGCACTCCTCCTCTTCTGTTACACTGCTCTCTTTCTGGCAAGAGGAAGGCCACCTACACAGATTAGGCAGGTCTTCACTTGTCTTCATAGCCCAGACCTATGTTAACTCAGAAAAGCAGTGACAGATCATTTAGTATTTAACATACTTGTGGTTTTATTGCAAAACACATGAGTGTGCTTTAACAACTCAGTCATTCATACTCTCAAGCAATGGGCACTGATGGCATCAAGTTTTGCAAATCACTTGCATTTAAATCTGTGACATGATGCCAGATCATGACCTATTGCAAGAGTTAACAACAGTGGGAGAAGAAACTAAAAACCTATACAACTTCAAACTTATTCTGTATCCACCTTGGAAGAAGACAAAAAGCTTCCCTTTATTCCAAAACCTACTCATTTGTTTAACAAGATACATTGCTTGTAACATCTAATAAATACTCCCCTGATTTAACAAACGTTACTACAATAACTGTTCTCACAGAAGCTCATCCAGAAGGCAACCCACATGTACATAATCATCTTGTAAAGGAACAGTTTTTGCTGGACTATCTGTAGCACAGCACAGAACCAGAATGATAAATTAAATGTAATGGAATCCAATCTTTGACAGCCAGCAATAACACATAATGCTACAATAAAGAAAGGAAAGCATAAATTCTGGGATGATAGCAGAAACTTGGCGAGGCTTGCATAGAAAAGCCAATCTCAGAAGCTAGAATTAAAACCAAAATGAGATAACCATCACAGCAAGTAAGAACTTTAACACACAGGTATTAAGCCCTCTAGCCTCTGTGCTAGATGCTTACACAGCAGTTACGATTAAGAAATGTGATAAAGAAGTCAGTTGTATGAGCTACTGTTGACTCAGTGAGTTGTCAGCTTGAAGAAAGTCTAGGCTAAACATCTAGAAGGAACTTATGAACAAAAAAATCCACGATGTAGTAAAGGAACTAACAGAAATGCCACTGCTCACACTATTTTACATATTTACCTGTTATATGTCCTAACTGGAGATTTGGAAAGCAAACCTAAAAAATCCAAACAAATCAGAAAATATGAAAAGAACAAGTTTGTACTAGTAGGGAAATGAACTAGTAGCCATGCTTCTGATCTGCTCTATCTGGAGTTAACTCTCAACTTGTTTTCATAAACATATACAAGGATAATGCACTCTTCTACCTTACAACTGCTGTGTCTTCCTCACTTTCCCTCCCTTCCTGTTTACTAGATGAAAAGGTTACATTCTCGCTCAGCACAGCAAAGTTTAGGTTTAACAGATCCATAGGAAAAGCCATTTCACATTGCTCTCTCAGCGTGCTTAAGAAGGTAGGCAGCTTGCCCAGCCAAAAAAGTAGCATGCCACTGGCACAGAAGTCCCATATAATGAGCTTTGTAAAATCCCTTACGAATCTACTATACTTCTCCACATAGCTTTGCAGCACATTGTACTATCCCAGACAGCCTGCTTCCTTACCTTTGAAAGCGATCCCTGCATTGTTAACCAGCACGTCCAGCCCTCCATATTTCTCCTTTAGGAAGTCACGGAGAGCTCTGATGCTCTGCAGATCATCAATATCCAGCTGATGGAAGAGCGCATGCAGTCCTTCCTCCTGGAGCTTTTTCACTGCTTCCTGGCCACGGCCGGGGTCTCGGGCTGTCACGTACACGTCCCCTGGGAACTGGTGGCATAGAGCCCGAACAATTGAGAATCCGATCCCTTTGTTGGATCCGGTCACCACAGCCACTGGTACATTACACATAGCTCCTCTCTGAATGTATGTCAAAGTGACAGTAACTGCAAATAGCAAAGAAGAAAATTTCACATTCAGATGGACAAAGATGGTTATCTGAAAATGGATGAAAGTGTTTTTTCTTTAAAATTTTATACAGAATTACCCTTTGATTTATGTGAAACTACATTAGAGTGCACACTAACATACTAAAGTAGCATGAGAAAGCCACTTTTGGCTTTAGCATTTTGAAGAAGGCCCAGTCAATAACTGGGTTAATAAAAAGCAAAGTCAATGACTGATCTGCAGTGCTAAGTTAACTTTTGATGGGAGTAAACTCTCCTGCACATACACCTTACAGCAACACCATTTCCTTCTTCTGAGCATATTCAGCTGGTTAGTTCAAGCAGTGATGCAGCGAAAGCTGAAAAACCCAGGGTCAGATACAGGGGGGAGTGGCTTGATCTTCAAGTGTCAGGCAGGAGTAGCAATTCTGGCGTTTCAGAAGAGAGAGGACCACAGATCGACTACATATATTTATTATGTTCAACATCAGACAACTCTAGATACAAAGTCTGCTTGCCTTTTCTCCCCCCCCCCCCCCGAAATAGCACATTTAAAGAGGACGTACTTCCCCCATAAAAGTTTTAAATACTGGGTTTGCTCAGTTTTGACCTAAGTACTACCTCCCTTCCAAATTAACTTGTACCTATTAGTAGTAGGCATCCAACGAAATACGAACCAGCTCCTGGCCAGCTACCGACTGACTGCACCAGGACGAGAAGCGACCCTCCCGCTTCACCCTAGCATGGGCACATTTCACGCACTGCCCCTGCCTCAGGACCGGTTTTTCCCCCTAACGGGAACGCAAAGCACTCCCGCCAGCCGCGATGAAGCCCGGCTCCTCAGGCGGCCCTCCGCGGGACGGGAGAGACCCTAACCGTTCCGCGCCCGGCAAAGGGGCTGAACGCAGCGAGGAGCTGCGGAGCAGACCCGGCGGGGCAGCCGACACTCCCTCACCCACCTCCAGTACACTGCCGTGGCCCTTGCTCCTCAGCTCTGCGCGGCGGCAGAAGAACGAGCTCACAGCAAGCCCTTGCACACCGAGGGCGGGGACGCGAAGGCAGTTAAAATGGCGGCGGGTCAGGCCCGCCTCCCGCGGCCGGGTCCAGTTGAGTAGAGGCAGGGTGGTGCGGCGGTGGTGGTGGGCAACGGCACGGCAAGGAGGTGGCCTCTGCGTCCTCTACAGTAGGTGGGCCGGCGGCGGGCGGGGGACTTGGGGCGGCGGGCAGCGTGTCCACCTTTGCTCTCTGCCCCGTCGTTGTTCCAGCCCGGGAGGGAGTCGGGAGTCGGAGCCCCTGCAGGTGTCCTCCAGTGTGCCGGTAGCTGGGGAAAGTGGGCCTTGGCCGCAGGAACCTGTGTGCCGGCCGGTGATCCCGGTGAGGGGCAGCACTCCCGGTCTCAGGCAGCGCCTCTGCGTGTGGAGTTCAGCTAAAAGCGGTATTGATAAGGGGAGCTTAAATGTACGTTCCAGCAACAGATTGAAGCGTAAAGAGTCAGGCTGATGCTGTTCATCTATAACATGTGCTGGAAGTGTTGAGGTGCAGTGTCACGGCACTGTATGGAACTGGGGTGTTTGGTGCTGTTGATGTGGGGTAAGATTGTTTCCTGCAGTGCATGTGGTCAGGAAGCTCCATTTTGCTTTTGTTTGTATCCAAAGAAATAAATCATGGGATGATTTGGGTTGGAAGGGACCTTAAAAATATCTTGGTGCACACCCCTTCCATGGGCAGGGACACCTTCCACTAGACCAGGTTGCTTAAAGCCCTGTCCATCCTGGCCTTAAACACTTACAGGCATGGGGCATCCACAATGTGAAATACGAGCTCACTCCTCTAAGCGAGATAACAAGGTTTTATTGAGGGACAAAATCAATAAAGCAAAAGCAACAGGGCTGGGTGTATGGCCGTAGCCGCAAGTGATTAGCATTTGTTACAAGTTTATATACTTTAACTATTACGTTAGTTACATACATATTCATAATTCCCGCATATAGGCGGGGAATATTATAACTAACTTCTGGAACTTATAAGTCCCCTCCTCTTGGCGTCTGCGCACTGCTCTCTGGTGATTGTGGGCAGGGGTCTTGAGGATGAAGTAAGCAGTCTTCCTCACAGTGTACTTTTCACCTTTGGCACAGTTGGACCCCCCAGTAATCACAAAACTAGCTGAAACCAGCCATATCTGTAACTTTGCTTATAACTAGCAAAGATTTAAAACAGTGTGACCTTCCTGCAAAATTTATTGCAGGATAGGCAGACAAGGAGTATCCCAAGCTAGCAGATGTTTGGGAGGCTCTGCCTCTAAACTAACTGATAATTAGAAGGATGGTGTGAAATAACTCATTCATGTTTAGTGGGGCCACTAAATCCTCTTATCTCACCACAGATTTACAACACAAACATTGTTCTTTAAAACTAAAGATACTTTAGAAGACTAGTATGAAACAACTCATGTTTAGTGGGGTCACTACATTCCACAGACTTAAAACATAAACTTTGTTCTCTTTCTACAACCTAAGTTAAGCTAAAAAGTACTTTATGTTTTTCAGGCACTAGCTTTTCATATATGAAGCCCCCCCCCCCATCTTTTACCTTTACAAATTCTTCTGCTATGTGACTCCATTTTGCTCAAAGAGTTCTGGCCCTTTTTAACTTGTGTCTTTAGTGAGCTTTGTTTCTGTTCTTGTAAACTCCTACAGTTATAGCCACATAACCACACCTATGGTTTGCGAAAGCCAATACATTTATGTGTTTATCATCACATAGAGCTTATTTGGAAAACCCATGTCAGTGCCTCACCATCCTCACTGTAAAGAATTTCCAAATGTTTAATCTAAATCTAACCTTTTTCAGTTTAAAGCCATTCCTCCTTGTCCTGTCACTACATCCCATGTAAAAAGTCCCTCTCCAGATTTCTTGAAGGCTGTCAAGCTGCAAAGGCTGCTTATGCTAATGAATTTTCAAAAAGCAAATGTATGCAAGGATAGAAAAGTTTTAGTTCTGTGCACATCAACTCTAGTGTCTCTTTTCCTGTAGAAGATTATGGATGTGCCTTGGCAAAAGTGATGTTTGAAGGTAAAGGCTTCTCATCTTCCCTCAACCGTATCACCCACCCTTGTTTAGAGACTTGCTTGTAGTACGTTTTCTAAACTTTAAAGAGGCAATTTTTTAAGCAGGCAATGTTCTGATTTGTCTTACTGAGATTAACATGCAGTAGTTGAAAGGGACTTTACATATGTGCAAGTAACTTTTTTCTTTTTCATTTAGGTTGTCTAAAAAAGGTAAAATCTGTTACTTAATTATGAAGAAAAGTAGAGGTCGGACAGGCCGAAAGAGGAGAAGAAAACACTTGCAGATTTTGGGTGGAGGTATTATCTCCAGAAGTACTGCTAAATAATAAAATAACCAATTGTCTGTCAAAGTGTCATTTTAGGGTATATATTTGTCAAACATTTGTGCTTTAAAAATAACATGCATAAATGTTAGCTTTTTTTATGCCAGTATTCTAACACTAGTTTACAATCCCAAGAAGAGCGTGAGAATATTGTGAGCTCTCTTTTCTGGCTAATGTCAAGTACTACATTATTCTTAAATTCCTTGACTCTTAAATAAGCTGTATAACTCCTGCAGTTCTAAGAACTCCTAGTGCCCAAGGGCACAGAACTTAGTAAGCTAGTTTGAGGGGAGCCTTTCTTGCTATTCTGTTATCATAGAATCATGGAATAGTTAGGGTTGAAAGGGACCTTAAAGATCATCTAGTTCCAACCTCCTGCCATGGGCAGAGACATCTTCCAGTAGAGCAGTTTGCTCAAAACTCCATCCAGCCTGGCCTTGAACACTGCCAGGCATAGGCCATCCATTATACTATGTTACAATGCTTTTCTGACTATACAGTAAGATTTTTTAATTTCCTTTATTTTCTAAGCTAGTCTTATTTAATAGCATGACTCTCATCTTTTTTTTATTTTTAGTCAGCTGCAGTCACAAGCTGGAATACATTAAACTTAAGAAGTGGCTGAAAGACAGAGGATTTGAAGACAGTAATTTAAGGCCAGCGGAGTTCTGGGGTAATGTTTTAATTATTCATTGTGGCAACAAAGTTCTGATTCTTCTAAGAATCTTAGATTTCTGCTTTCATTTTGAATCACACATGTGGCTGGCATAAGGAAAAATGCCAGTTACCATTCGTCTTTTGAGGACTTCTGCCAAATGCACGTGAATGTCATTTAGCATAAACAAGTAGATATGGAGGCCTGAAGTAGTGTAAACTGTTTCTTGTAGAAACATAATGTGTAAAACTCTTGTGTGAAAATACTCTGGTATACTGCAAAACATGTTCACCTATGCTGAATTCATTGTAGAAATCAAGATTTTTTAACTGTTAGCAGCACAGTTTCAAAGAAGTAATATCTCTTTAAGCATTTCCAGTATCAGACTCTAACCCTGTTATAATTTCTTCATCTTTTTTTCCCATGTGAACTCAGCAAATCTGGTGATACACATAAGTAAATGATATTAGAGGTGGGATTCACTTAGTACTGTTTACAGCGAAGGTATATACGTGTATTTTTTCTCTTTAAGTAGATTATGTTTCAAAAACTTTTAAAGAGAGAGATAATAGGATGAATCAGAGAAAAATATTATGAATAGAAATTGTAAGGTTTAGTTAAACCTCTGAAAACAAGGACAGCAGCCAGTGATGAAAGATGTGTTTAAAGAAGAAAATGGGAAAAAGAAGTTGAGTAACTGCTAGAATTGGACAGCAAATGTTGCAAGGGAGGAGTGTTTGCAGGCTTCTGTAAGGTGAAAAGAGAATCCAAGAACAAAGAAATGTGTCTAGAATAACCCAAAATTGTCTTTTATGATTTGTAAGAGGTAATTTATGTTCCTTTAGAGCTTTTGCTTGCTGATCTGTTAATTTATTGCAGGTTATCAGAGTCTCCTGTATTTTACAAATGTACATGCATTTAAGCAGTTCTCTTTGTTCCTGCTTCAGGTACAGGAAGAGGACTGATGACAACAAAAGCTCTTCAGGTTAGTAATGTTAGTTCTATTGAAAGAGTTCCTCAGGTTCTTTTGAGATGTAAAGACTTTTGCAACAAGTAAAGCTCAAAATTCCAGACAAGGTCTTCACAGTTCCTGTTGTCAGTGTAAATTCTGGCCTAGTATCAGAATTTGCAATGTTGGCATATCTGTAGGATGATGTCCTATGTACCCTGAGTGCCTGTTGGATGAAAATATTCCTGTACTCATTTACAGAGATTTAGTGTGTAGTCTAATGTTTCAGTTTAAGGCAATCAGTGGCTAACTGAAACCAGAAGGAGCTGGCCCCTTCCCTCCTGTATGCCTTCTCCCTCAGCCTTGGCTCTCACAGCTTCCTTTGCACTTGCTGTAGCAATCTTCCCCACTCATGTGATAGGTTGCAAGCTAGAGAGAAACCTTTTCAAAATAATTATTAGCTTTGCTCCTTCAAGTCTCCCATCTTGGTTAGTGCTGGTACAAGGAGGAATGGCATATCAGGGAGGGGGACGGAGAAAAGGGACAGGTCTTTAGACAGCATTTATCTTTAGATTATCTTAGTCGTAATGTAAATCAGCAGCTTTAACCTCACTTTGCTGGAGTCTTCTTTGTTAGTAAACTAGCTAACAGAAACGTAATTTCTCAGATATGCCCAGCAGAAAAAGGGAATAATAGAAAAAATACTTTGCACTTTAGATACTGGCACAGAAAGATCAAACTCTTGACTTAAAAGTGCCTCTCAGAAAATAGGCTTGTTAGAGAAGTTTCCTAACTGGTACGAGAACAGTATATCAAATAATGGGGAATCAGACCAGAACCTTTTGCAAATTAGAGTATAGCAGGAAGTATGAAGGAGATGCATGTAGAGAACAGTGTATGTTATCATGCTGGCTGAGGGCTAGAGGCAGCTGTTGAAGCCAGAGGCTCACCTTATCCACAGTGCTGTGAGTCTACTGTAAATTAAATGAGAGCTGGACTCAACTGAAATGAGAGCAAGATATGGAAACTCAGGAGAGAAACTGGAAGGGGAGAGTGTTGACTTGATTCATGTCCTCTCTTTACAAGCATGGAGGTATATGGCTCAAGCAAGGCATGAAAGCTAATTTACACACACATAGCAGCTTGGCAAACAAGGTCACGATAGACATGACGTAAAATAGCCCTAGCCCATGCTGCTGTGTTGATAGAAGCACAGCTGTTTATGAGATCTACTTTAAAATATATCTCAGTACAAAGAAAATCAGTAGCCAGGCAACAAACTATGTGAGCAGCTTTTTGCAGGTGACAGTTCCTACTGGCTGTGTCATCCTCCTTTGCTGGACTGTGACTGTCTTAAAACTATGCTAGTTTCCATCAAGTTCAACATCACTTCTCTTTGCTTCTTGACATTAGTGTTCTCTGGGGAGTGTCTCTCTGTTCAGAAGTCATGTAGTAGATGAGTCATGTACAATTGACCTTTACTATTCTTTGTGTGTATGTTGTTTTTTCTTCTCTCCCTCAAAGGCAGGCAGGAGATCTGATTATTTCATTGCCTGAGAAATGCTTACTCACCACAGGCACTGTCCTTAATAGCTGCTTGGGAGAATACATTATGAAGTAAGTAAAAAGTGACGCTTCATGGGTAAGCTGGCCTTTACTGCTGGTTGCTCATTAATCATCTTAAGTGGTAGTAAGGCTTTAAACTGCATACTTAAACTTGTATGACTGTTGTGCATGTGGAATCATCAGATAAGTAAGGTTTTGACACAGCAGAGTTGGAGTGATGGTACAGGCTTGAACTTGACCTGTGCCTAGAGACAGCTTGGACCTAAATGTCAGATATGAATGGTTTCTTAGGAATTTGAAAATGTGATTCTATAGGAGAAGGACGATAAAATGGGTTTGCAAAGCAGTCATGCAAGCATAGCCTTTTAGAAAATTTGGAACAAAGACCTACGCTGGACATTGAGTACTTGTTATGTATCCTAAAAAAACCTGCCACCCCCCCAAAAAACCCCAACCCAACAGGTGACTCTGAAGTTGTTACTAAAACCAGCTTTTATAGACCCTTTGAAATCATCAAAAGGGCTTAGAGATGAACTACAAAAAAGTTTAAAGTAGAAGCTATTTATAACATTTAAAAGAACTAGCAGAGATATAAAATACTGCTGCATCCATTTCCTATCTCACCTCTTTGTATCTGCTGTGTTGGTATTTTTATTCTGTTTTCTAATAGATGGAAGCCTCCTGTATCTCCTTTGATAGCACTGTGCACATTTTTAATAGCAGAGAAACATGCTGGTGAAAAATCTCCATGGAAGCCATATATTGATGTTTTACCGAAGACATATACTTGCCCTGTTTTTTTTGAGCATGATGCAGTAAGCCTTCTCCCTGAACCTCTAAGAACGAAGGCTCAGGAGCAGAGAACGATGGTCCATGAGTTGTACATGTCTTCCAAGGCTTTCTTCTCTTCCCTGCAGCCTTTGTTTGCCGAGAACACAGAAACTATATTTAACTACAGTGCTCTAGAGTGGGCTTGGTGCACTGTTAATACCAGGACAATATATATGAAACATTCACAGAGGGAATGTTTTTCTATTGAGCCAGATGTTTATGCTTTGGCACCATATTTAGATTTGCTAAACCACAGTCCAAATGTTCAGGTAAGAAACTAAAAACAGATCACTTAATTTCTTTGTTTGTAAATGCATTCTTTATTTGTAAATGCACTACCACAGTACAGTATGAAATGAGGTGATGGATTAGGAGGGTCAGTGAGGGAAAAATGTCTACTGGGGACATGTACAGGCTGAGTACTCATGGTTATAGTATGTACCCTGGAGCTTGTTTTTCAGCCCAAGGTAGTTGAATACAGATGATTCAAATGTTTCAGTTTATGTAGCAAAGTGAAGTTAAAGGGAGAGCCCACAGCGGCTGAGTGAGATCTGCATCCAGAGCAGCTATATGGAAGAGCTACTGGTAAATATAACCCTACCCTGCTCTTCCAAAAGGCTCAGCTCCTGGATCTGAAGTTATGTGGTCCCTGAGTTATTTCACCTCTGGCTGAAGCCTTTGAACAGCTTTACGAAAGTGTATAGAGCAGTCCTAGCTCATGTCAGGGACTGCGTGCCAGCTCAGAGTTGGGACAGCACAAAAGCGGCCAACTCTGCCTGAAGCCATGTTTATTTGTGGATTTGGGGCCTCTGTAATAAGTCTACAGAGTTGGTGATACACCCTGTGGTTTAAGGGTTTGATGTATGTTCTTCATACTAATGGGTTGCCTTTTCAGACATCTGTAACACTATCTGTTTTTTCTTCCAGTGTTAGAGAAGTGTTCATTACTGTTGGATTTTAATATTCAAGGTCTGATTCCTTTTTTCACCCTGTCCTTCTGCCAAGAGTAAGACCTTTTATTTTTACCTTTGTGAAGGTAAAGGCTGCATTTAATGAGCAGACAAGAAGCTATGAAATTTGGACAAATTCACAGTGCAAAAGATATGAAGAAGTATTTATCTGCTATGGGCCTCATGACAATCAGCGACTGCTACTAGAATATGGATTTGTTGCCATGGATAACCCTCATAGCAGTGTTTATGTCTCATCAGGTTGGATTTATAGATTGTCTTGACATTAAAAGGCACAATAGTAGAGAACAGAGCATCTGAGCATGTTAATACTGTCTGCATTCAACAGGAGATGTCAGTGAAAAAGGATAACTAAAGGATAATGAAGAAATTCGCACACATCCATATACATAATTGCACAACATGGACAATGCATATTAAGGCATTGTTGGTTTTCTTTTTTAGGTACCATGAAAATATTTGTATTTCTAAGAAGTGGAATAGGCCTTGGTACCATTTTTAACTGCGTAGTATTGGAGTTTTAAAATTGAAAGTGTCTTTGGTAACTTTTCCTTTTGTAAAATTGCAATTCTTAGCAGCATATATGTAGAGATTCCAACTGGATGTCTTAGATTGCACCATCGACTTAAGGATTGAAGTCCTGATCCTCACAAACTAAAGTTACTGACAGTGGTTCATAACTTCAGCTTCAGTCAGGATTTCCATTATAAGGTTACAATCCTGGAGATTGCTGATGGCTTTTGAGTAATAGAGACATTTTTGATTATGTTAAAGTTCACCAACATTGTAGCAGGTTTTAATTTTTGGCCTATAGCTACTTGAAAAATATGACTGAAATGTCATTTCAGAATTGAGGCTTGTGGGTTTCTTCTACATACCATGTATTTAAATATGTAAAATATGTTTTTTTGCAGATACTCTTCTCAAATATTTTCCACCACTGGACAAGCAGAGAAATGCAAAACTTTCCATTCTGAGGGATAATGATTTCTTAGAGTAGGTATCTGAAGTTTTTTTGTTTCCCTATGAGCTTTCTTTTCATTTTTTTCTGGGAGTCAAATTTTGCTTCTAGTATCAAAATTCAACATAAAATAATATTTTTTTTTAAACAAACTGATTTACTTTCTATTTGTGAGAGAATGTAGAAGTAGTAAACACCAATATCAAAGCTTGAGATAGGTTTCAAGATGCAGCCTGTCACCTGTCTGTGGATAACAGCAGAGTAAGGGGAGTCAAGGAGTCCTCGAGTTCCAAAGAGCAGATCTCTTCCTGACACTTATCAATAAGAAAGCTATCATTCTGTCAAAGATCACCTATACTTTCTGAATCTATTTGCTTTTGACCTTTTAGAAACCTGACCTTTGGATGGGATGGACCATCTTGGAGACTCCTTACTGCTCTCAAGTTGTTAAATCTTGGTGCAGATGAATTGTAAGTTTCAGTACTCAGAATATTTAGACAATGTGCATGTGTCATTTTCCTTTATTTGCTCTTTGCTGGCTGTGTGTGAGATACTGGGACAATTGTTTGGTATCTTCTCTATCTCATTGACTTCAGGTGAGAAGAGAAAAGAGGAAAGGCAGAGAACACCATAGAATGTAAAGTCATTGTCTATTTGCTGCTTTGGTCTTCTGCTTTCTTCAAACACCCTGTTGTTTTCCCTTTCTATTTTGAGAACCAGATATTACTTAAGGTTCAGGTTCCGGACCTTTTCTCTGTGGGTTTGATGGGACTTTAAATGCTATTGACCTTTCTTGATTTCTTTGAAGCATGTGTTCCACAGACTGCTTCTTAAATTTTAAGGCCAAGTAAGTTGCTGAACTTCATCTCCAGTGACTGTCAGTGCAAGTTTGATCATTTGTTCCCAATAGTAAACCTGCCTCAAAAACATTTACCTGGGATTTGCTTGTAATAGTAAGTAAAACCAAACAATTTCTCTTGTCCAAAGCTGTTTATGCTTTGAAGATTCACTGCTGAGTGGAATAAGTTGATTATAAGAACTGAAAATAAATTGCCATGATACTGATTACAAGCCTAGGTGGCATGAAGTTTAGCATGCTAATAAGTTCTGAGTGAATAGCTTTTCCTCCTCACTAGTGCTGCTGAAGTTGGTGGCAGCATGGCAGAGCAGTGAAGACCGGAAGCATTGGCCTAATTGCAGGCTGTGTCTTTAGCTGAAAGGGTAGGGGTGGAGGGTTGGTATCACTGCTCCAGATCATTAAATCTCTCTTCCCTTTTACATGCCTCATCACTCTCATAGCTGAACGTTGTGTGCCTTTTTCACGTATGCTAACCTTACTTGCCTGTGCCAGTGATGTTATTCTTATATTAACCATATGTTTATCATTCAGCTGGGGAATACAGCAAATGATTGTGTTTAAACATTTTGGTTCTAGTACTTGCTGGAGGAGAACACTCCTTGGTGATGTAATTTCAGCCAGAAATGAACAGCAGACTTTGAATATAACAACAAAAATATGCCATTTTTTAATAGAGGAGACACAGCATGTCCTTCTCCAGGTAATTTCACTGGAAGAGCAAAGTAGTCCAGATTGCTTTCTTTCCTAACATAAATGTACAGCAGTGTAATTTTTGGGGTGCAAGAATAGCAAGTGACAGAGGGAATTGACTACACTGAGGTGCTGTAGGATTTGTTTCCAGGCTGACTGACAGAATTTGTGGCTGCAGCAAAGAAAGGAACCATATTAGAAAGCCCTGTGAACAAGTGAAAAGTATTTAACTTTTCTCTGCCTATGTTATCATTGAGTTTGTTGAGGTTACCTCTTAAAAGAAAATGCAGACTTGTATGAGGTGGGTACGTAAGATATTGCAGACCTGCCACGAGTGCCTTGTTGCAGAAAGTGAAGTCTGTGTTCATTAAAGCCAAATGAACTACTTCTGTGAGGGAGGTCTGTGCTCTTAGAAAAACAGTCTCTCCTTCCTTTCTGAATTCTGGCAATGAAATGTGTACTTAATGTCAAGTCGGATAGCTATCATGGAAAAAGGTTATTAAAACCAAACTTTTGTAAAGGACACGCATCTATGCAGAGAGTATGAGGTGAACCTGGTCTTGTGCAACATCTTGAGGATAGTATGGGTTTAAGAACAGGGTATCAGTTAAACATTACCCTTCCCTTCTTCTCCTTGTTTTCCATCTGCTTCCTTTATTAATAAAAATACTATTTTGACATAGTTCATGAAATCATTAAGAGGGATAAGCTTTCCACAAATGTTATATTCATGTCCAGTATTAAATAATCTAAATTTCTGGTAATTTCATCTCATTTGTATAAAATTCAGATTTCCCAGTTGAAAAGGAGCAAAGAGAACCTGCAAATGCACCTGGCTTTGGTAGAAGCGTTGCACTTGGAAAACCTGAAGATACTACAAAAATCAGCTGAGAGTCTTTGTAGCTTGCGTATGGCAACCACTTGACTCATCTGGACTTGTGGCTGATTGGAGGTCATTTGCCATGGATGTGCCTTGCTGAACTGTTTTAATGGTCCTGAGCAGCAAAGAATAATGTACAGATCATCAAAATATGCTTAGTTTTGATTACAGGGTCACAGAGGATCCGCTATTTATTTTGTTCTTTGCTGACCTTCTTCAGTGATACAAAAGGTTAGCCCAAATGGTAGGGGAGAGCACAGGTGGCTTTCATCATATCTCACTGAAATTATGGCTGCTGTGAGCGAAACAGTTTCTGAGGTAATTTGAGCAGCCCTAGGATTGTGGGCTCGAGCAGTCCTAGACTTTACAGCAGCCTCTGTGACTAAAGCATGGATCACAGGCTCAAGCAGATACTCCTCAGCATGTATTTGAGCTCTGGCACTTGGCAGGGAGGAAGAGGACAGAGCCATTTATATTTGTCTTGTTCCTGTCCTTTACCTTTCCCCTGTGTGAATTTCCATCCTTTACTCAAACCTCCTTCCAGACTCACTAGTTCGTATTCTGGCTCCTCCTGCTGAGAATGAGAATTGAAAGGATATATCACTTTGAACTCTGTTTCTTGTTTGGAAGACCACCCAGGCAATTAGTTCTGTTTTCATTTGTTTCTGATGATCACATTGAGAAATGTTCGTATCCTGTTTATAAGGGGATAGTTTCATGTGCTCTATTTCAGCATTGGTTCTATTTAAGTAGGGAGCTTGAGCTTCCTACGTCGTTCAGAGAAGAGAGACGTCTTCAAAAGACATTTGAGGGCAGGAGCCTTATTTTAGCTGTACAAACTTACTTTGTGGTTGTGTTGTGATTATTTTCCGTTTTGTGGGGAATCACATTTCGTAGAATTTTTCATTACTGTTTTTAGCATTTGTTAAGAGCTATGTTTGTAAGTGTTTGTTTTTGTATGTATATTGCTTCATTTTCTACAAGACTTCTGTTTTTGAAATAAATTGTATACAACAGTAAAGGCATTCTAGATAATCTAACTTAAGGAAAAAATACAGGTGAAAACTTAGGTATTCACATGCACTTGCAGACTTTCTTTGGTATCTTGTGAACAAGAATGTTATTGTGTAAACTTTCTTGGATTTGAGTATTCCATGTTTTTTTTTTCTGTCTCTGTTGGGACAGGAAATGCTGTGATACTTGGAGCTCTGAGAAGGGTTCTTCCTTACCTACAGGGGTATGTTGGTTCAGCTTCAAAATTCTGTGGGAACTGAAAAGTGTAACTGTTTGCTGTTTACTCAGTTTCCAAACCCAGAAGTTCTTGGTTTTCAGGTTTCATCTTCATAAGCTCTTCCTAGGATTAGGAAGTTCTGAAAATAAGCTTTTTTTTTCTGCCTTGTTTACCCCAGTGCACCGAGACTTCTCTGCACTGTCAGGCTTTCTTATATTGTTCATATGGAGATGCTGACAGTGTGTTGGTGCTTTACATTTCAGAGCAGAGGGCAGGGTGAATGGGTTGGGAGAGGAGCTGATGTATTTTCTGGAGCTAGGTGCACGTTTATTCCATCTTTTGGGCCAACTTACTTTCATATTTGCCTAAACTGTGGTTTTAATCCCTGCAAGTCACTTAGCACCATGTTTTATAGTCTAGTCACTTCCATTCTGAAGTACTTCTTGGGGTGAGATGCCTTTCTAGATTTGGGGATGCAGTCTCTAATAATCTCACCAAGAGCAATTCCATCAGCTTAATGAAGGTCCTTCTGTACCACTGAACCTGTCTACAGCAGAGATAAGGGCTGAGGCTTGCCCATTCATTTTGATTAGATCTGCAAAAAGGCCTACAGAAGTCACGGGTGACATGGAGAGGGATGGATTGTGACTGAGCATTCATAGTGCAAGAAGTAAGGGTTTTCAAAGGAAGATGGAAGAACTCAGGTTCAAAACTACCAGAATGTGGTAACAAATCCATTGATTTTAATAAGGGATATGGATATAAAAGTTGACATGGGTACAGAGCACCTAATACGCAGAACAAGCAGCTATTGGCAGTTACCAGCCAGCCAGGCAACTTTGGTCTTATGTAGTCCCCTGATCTCAAAACAGTTCAAGGTTGGGAGGATATTGATGTCAAGTCTTGTAAATGCTTGACCTGTACTTGCTCTTTTAAGGTCTTCAAGGATGGACAATGTGGGAAACAGGGCACTGGGCTAGTGGGATGTGGTTTTGAACATGTCCTGCAATTTTGTTGATTACAGGTGAACTGCTTGACCTCTCACTTTTTTTAATATGAACTTTTTCATTCTGTAAGAACAGATGTGTTTCACATGTAATATTTTTATAATGAGATGGTGCTAGAGTTAAAGAAGATAAGGATATTTGGTTGTTGGATTTTTTTTTTTGTTTGTGTTTGTTTTTTCTTTTTATCCTGGAGATGGCTGTTTTAAGAAAAACTTATGTACATTGTGTCTTGCAAGATGGATACTAGTTTATTTGCTTCAGTATAGCATTATACACTATGCATTTATACCAGCTGGTTTGAATATGCACTCTACTTGTGTAACTCCTACACACACTCCAGAGGGTGTAGGGAGGGGATCTGGCAGTGCAGGAGAGCAGGCAGTATGACCTGCTTGTCTGTCTCTTGCGTGAAAGCACAGCAGTAAGCCCCTAGCTTTACATTAAGCAATGTAGCAAGTGTTCTGAATAGACCCATGTGTGTTTAATGTCAAAGGCAAAATCCTGCTTGAATAAACTATGGAACTGGAACTAGTGCTTTCGTAACACACATCAATAACAACAGAGTTTTAACAGGAATAAACCAGAGTAACAGGTCCTGATTCAGCATTTATGCGTATATATGCCCAGTAAGAAAAAGCTTAAATTCTTTTTTGAATCAAACCTAAACTATGTGCAAGACAAGACATCCTAAGGTGGGCTAAGAGCCTGAGGACGTAACTGCATTGGGAGTGTTCTCCAGCTGTCTTACAAGAACACTAAATCAAGTTTTCAAAGAGTGAAGATGCTTCCTCTCAGCCTCTAATTTAACTAGAGCCCCACTGAGCTGCAAATATGTTAATTGCTTAGTTTTAGTGATGTGCTGTTAATGTTTGACTCTGGCTCTCTGTTAGTCTAAGAAGGGACTTAGCGGTGATCTCACTGTGGAAAGACATATTTTATTTCCCTCTGTATAAACTTCCTTTCAGATTGTATCTGCAAATCTTGCCAATAGTAGGAATAAACCCCAGCTTTTTATCATTAGGGATACAAACTTGGTATGGGCCATGGCAGTGAGCTAGATTCTCTTCCAGCTTATGCAGTGTTACTAAAAAAGAGCTAAAGTAGGAATTCATTCTGTGACTGCAGTGAACACACTGGGCTTAGGCAAGTGCAATGAGAAGTTTTATTTCTTGTAACAAGAGAGTGAGACAGGAATAGCACAGCTTGATTATTTTTTTTTTTGGGGGGGGGGGGAGGAGGGGCAGTTGATTTAGTGCAGTCTGAAGTCACTGAAAAATGACAAACATGAAACCTCACGACAGTATCTTTCCTGTGTCAATTTATGTAAATACAGCATGGATTTTCTTTGATCTTCTAGAGAGAGTGGCTTCCAGTTTACAGTTTTCTTCAGCTGTAGTGAATGGAGATCATCCATCATTGCTAAGTGCCGTCAGACCTGTCTGTTTCAGGACAAGATAAGGGAGTATCAGCTCTCATACCCTGATAATTAAAGCTTTTAGGTACACTATGAAAACATTTCAAAGATGACATTCCCAAAGAAAGGAGCTTTTAAAAATTATGTCTCAAAGGGTATGTAGCCCTCCATGCCTAGAAGGTAAAGAATACCCTTTTCAAAGTGCCACACTCTAGCATACTTTGAAGTGTTTGTTTGTGCTCAGCACATCTGTGGCTACAGCAATGAAGACAATGAATTCTAGGACAGAGGGAAACAGAACTTTATGGGTTTCTTTATGCAATAAATAGAAATAGAAGTTGTTGCAAGATTTTTGAGGGAACTCTTGATGAGGGAAGGATGAAGGAAGATGAGGGAAGTTGTTTCCCTCATTTTTGACCAGCAGTTGGAACTGAACTGTGTGAAATTCATAATTTTTATAATTTCAGTACAAAAGCAGAGAAATCACAGCTCAGTGGCTGAATTCAACTAGAAGAACTTGATTTTATCCCTATCTAACAAAGCTTAAGTAACATCAATCTGCTGTAGGTTGGAGGGGAAAGGAAAAAAATCCAAACATGTCCAGTTCATTCCACTGAATGTTTTAGTGGATATCTGTAATTACAGAATTAAGTTTGAGAGAGTGCTGCAATGAGCTATGTTCAGTGGGAAGGCAAAGATACTCAATGAATCCTAAACTAAATTGTGTAAAACTAGTGTAAAACTAATGCAATCTCTGTGTTGTCCACTAGATGATGCAACTGTACTACAGAGAGATAAATTACAGTATACACACACAGTTATAATCCTATGTAATGTATTATATTTTCAGTAGTAAAAAGCATTGTCTTCAATAATACACCGTGGTTTGTGTTGGATAAATAGTTGAAAATGTAGTTTTCTTTCTGCTGGTTTGAAGTGAAATTTGAAGCTTTGTAATCTATCTTTTTTTTCAGTTTTATTGTATTTTAACTTTGTTGGAGTTGCTCCCCTCTCAAGTTGAATCATGTCATTCTCTTAAACTATCACCTGAGACATAATAGCTCAAATCATCTTTGTTACATTAACTTGACCCTAATGGTGTAGCTAGTGGGGTTGCAGTGGAGAACTGTCCGCTCCTGTGGTTTTCCCTTCAGAGATTAGGGGCCACATTCATCTTCTGCATAGATGTCTTTCCATAATGTACTTTGATTTGGCAGATAGAACTCTGGAACATTTCCTCTGACTAGGGCTATTCTGTGGACTTTCCCTTATGTTAGTTCTCTAGTGTCTAATAGTAATAAGCTAATGTTTGACCCTTTCATTCGCTGGGGATTTCTTCACTGCCCATTTTCACTGCTTGTGTCTGCTTACTACTTTTGATGTGTGTGTTTGTTGCCTTGCTGAGTTTCCCAGGGGCTTCTGAAACAGCCAGTGTGTGTGTGCTTAGAGCCCCTTCAGATTGTCCCAGTTGCCCTACAGCTGAAAACAAAGCTGTTTGCAAAGCTGCTGTTTTCTCCTTAAGCCCTCTTTCCTGTTCCTTAGCTCTTTCTGCTGCCTCCACTGCTGGACCATACTGCAACAGGCTAGTCTTGAGAGCACTGAAGTGGACTGGTCTCTAGTGCCACTCTGTGCATGGTAGGAGGTAGGTATTTGCAGTGTACTTTTAATGTAAGAATGTTTTTCCTCCTTACATACACCTGTACTTGCTCCAAGCGTGGCAAGGCCAGCTGTGTTCAGTGTTGTACCTCTCCATTAGGGTGCCAGAGTTGGGCTGGAGAAACTTGGGTGAGCACTGTATTCCTTTCAGATTCATTCAGCTGGCACTGGATTTGATATTTTAGTAGCTCCTTCCTGCTGAGGCAACTCTAGAAGGAGCTGGCAGAGGCAGTTTGGCTCTTTTGACCCTTGGCAGGCAATGATGACTATGGAGAGGACAGAGGGACATTCTCAGCATGGGGCTGGTGCCAAGGCTATCTGTACCACCCTGCTTGGGCTCACATCCAGATCCTGTATCTCTACCCTTAAGAAGCCAGCCCTCTTTGCAGCAAGAAAGTGCATTTGTGCATCCTTCCCACGAGATGAACTTTGTATGGACAGAGAGAGATGCTTGGTGTGGGTGGGTCAGTCTGCAGAAGATGTTGGCAAGAGATCAGAAGGGACCATGCCATCTTAACATGACTCATGCTGCTCTGAACCATTTCTGATGAGTACTTATATGGTGGGCTAGCCAGTCCCCGTCTCAGGAATGAGAAAACACTGTACATCGTGGGAGACTCCTAAAGGCCTGCTAGGAGTGCAGTGTGGGCTGGGCTGCAGAGGTGTAAGGGGAAGAGTGAGCTAGGACAGCAAGGGTGGAGTGATCCCACTTGATAGGGTATGCGCTAATAAGGAGCACACAAGCCTCTCTGCCTTTTCTCTGCCTGTAAATTCACATAGATAACTGGACAGTCCTGCTGCTCCGTCAGAAATGTTGTGCTGGTCAGGGTGGCCATTTCTGTGCAGGGCATGAAGGCGAGAAGGGTAAACATACAATCTGGACAGTAACCCTTAAAAAACATATACCGTCAGGCAAGTATGTATGTGTGTGTCTGTGTGTGCCAGTGCTATCCTAGCTTCATGAGAGATGGGCTCTATGGTTTACTCAGCTGTGTAACCCTGGTTTGGCATTTTTTTCTGCAGGGGAGAAAGAACACTGGTTTTGCTAGAGGGAACCTTTTGGTTGTGCTGGTTTGTCTGGGTGTCTCACTGCTCCATGCTGTCATGCACAGGTGGAGATGGGTGTGGAACCCTCAGTGTTGCCAGGTGGGAAATCTCTCATATCAGGCTTTTGATACAGCCCTGTAGTCTGCCTCTTTGTCACGGACACCCACGTCATGCCTCCCACAATCACCCACTGGTGGGGTTGTCCTGATGTGTGGAATAGGATTTAGTGGATGTGAGGTGGTCTGGCTGGGATGCACTTGGATGTGGAGCTGTCTGGTGAGGTAGGGAATATGTATTGGAGATAAAAAAGCAATAAGCTTTCTTCTCTGGCAGTTCAAATGGGGTGCTCTCATGATCACTCCTTTGAACATGCTCCAAGGCTAAGATGGTGTGGACGCTCAAAGAGCTGGGCTTTGTGCATACAGCCAACAGCATTAGCAAAGGCAGTGTAGATATGGTGGTTGACTGTTCTTTTGTGTCACATTTGCTAGAAATTGGCTAATGTGCTCAGAAAATGCATGAGAGGGGAAGGGAAGAATAGCATATTGAGATATACAGAGATATGTTTTCTCTTGCATCCAGGCTAAAGTCACAACAGAAAGTCTAGGTGTTCCTGCTCCGGCAGGGGGATTGGACTAGATGATCTTTTGAGGTCCCTTCCAATCTCTAGCATACTGTGATACTGTGTGATACTGTGAAAGTCAGAAATTTTGAACCCAACCTTAAGCTTAATCATGCTGGAAACAATTGGCTATGATGGGTGCTTGTACTCATCCAAAGAAGTCCCTGCCTATGGGGGAATGACCATTCCCATTCTAGATACAGTCAGAGAACCACGTATGCTTGGCACAGGCTCTGAGGAACACAGCAGATCAGTCTGATCTGAACCTCAGGAGACTTAACATTGTCTCTGTCCCTGGCTGCTTCCAGCAATAACTGTGAAAAATCAGTTCATCACAAGTCTATTTTATGCTGATTTAATTCCGCTTGGCTCAAATGGAGTTACACCTTGCCTTTGATATCTGGCCTTGGGGCTTCATTAGGCATAGTCCAAAGACTGCTGACAGTTTTTATGTGAGTTCAAGCTTTCTTTCTTTTTTCTTTTTTTTTTTTTTTTT